ATATATAGGCTTTTTGATTTGTATGAATATGACTATAGACATAGTAATGCAGTTATTTTTGTTTGAATTTACAACTTATTTATTTTCTTTTAGTGGAAATTAATGGGACTGTAATTAGATAATATAAGAAATGTATGGAGTGCATAATGTCAGCCGCCCGGCTGTTATTTGGTTTGACGTACCTAATAAGATGTACCTAATTTCAGCCACGTAATATAAATCAGAGCTGCCATAAACTGGAATAAATACCATTAATTAGATCATAACTTATTTTATAGCTAAGGGAGTTATGATCAATTCGTCTGTTTTAAAATTGGTTTTAGATTTTAAAGTTTAGCAAAAGATGTACTAGCTTTTCTCTCTGACATTCGGCGTATAGAACATCTTATGTACTCAATTATTTTTTTTTGAAAAAGAAGAAAAACAAGTAATAAATAAAAACAAAAACGGGCCAAAAAACTCATAACTGACTTTTTGACAAGACCCGGGATTCGAAACCGAGACCTCATGATCAGCACTCGCACTACTACAAACACTAGACCAACGAGGCGGTACTATACCTAATAAGATATTGTGGTTGGGTGATAATATTGAATTAGCCTTTTATAGTGTAAATTATAATATTTGTCGAAATTTTAATTATGGATTCGAACCTTACATGCTAATGGTGCTTCATTTTTTTATTTGCATTTACTTCAAAGAAAATACACGCAAAAAGCTTCATCGCGCAGTAAAAAACACAACAAATATATGTATAACTAATACGAAAAATTATACCCAAAACAAACAAATAATACTACCTATAAATAACCTAATAAGTAATATTATTATCGACTAATATGACGTGAGTGCATGTGCTGGTCGACGCTCTAACGACACGGGCTTCGCGTCGAAGAGCTCAGGGCTCACTGACTTCAGCAAGCCCGTGAGCAGTGAATATGCCCAGATTTTAAAATAAATTCTTAATAAAATCAAATTTTGGTCTTTTGAAAAAAAATTTACTATAGAAATGTTCATTAATAAATTGCCTATCCATTGGTGTAAATCGCAAAATAAAATAATACTTACTTTACGAGGAGATGCATGTTATCAATAATAATTTCACATTTATGTGGTTTCGTTGTAAGGAGATTATATTAATATTTATTCGTTTAAAAAAAATTGGATATAGCTTTTATGGAATCAAGATTATGTAGAAATATAATGTGTTTTTTATTTGTTGATATATCTTTTAAATAAAAAGTAGATAGCTCCTAAATACAGCACAAATAACGACTAGCGCGACATTTTGCTCAACCTGCGCCTTAATACCTGCAAGTCGCCAGACAAATTTAGCGGTTATAAACAATTCCCAGACGTGAATAAAGTTTACAAATGAATACGAAATACCTAACTGCAAACCATCTGCTACACTCGCGGGACTGGATTCGCCAATTGAAGAAATTATATTTTTTTCACAATTTCAATTTGCGAAAAGGACCTTCCCGAAATTCGTCGCCAGCTCTCCGACTACACCTTTGTTGTACCGTCAACGTATGTCCAGCTTGATGGTGCACTTGCGCACTTTTCTCGAGCAGTGAGAGAGTATTTAAATAACACGTATTGGCCGTGAACTAGTCGCGGTGGTATAGTAGCGTGGCCACCTCAACCTGATTTAACACCTTTGGGTTATTGTTTGTGGTTCCATATGAAACACAGGTTTTACGTCACACTTCCAAACACCAGGAAGAACTCATCACGAAAATAATGTCAATTGCCGAAGAAATATTATAAGATCTGATTTACAAATGATTAGGCGCTCATCAACTTTGGTGGCCCATAGAGTTTTAGCCTGCCTACAAGCTAGAGGTAGCCACTTTGAACAACTGCTTTAGATATATTAATTGTAGGTCAATTTTGTAAAACAATTAAATAAAAACTAATAAGAAAGTTGACTATTTAAAATTTTGAAAGGTTAAAGTTTTCCTGTTTAGGGTTACGACAAAGGCCCTTTATACTTGCCCATACGCTATGTTCAAACAACAATCATTCTTAAAGTAATAGTCATAATAAATGAAAAAGAAATAAAAAAGGGAATCAAGTTTTTTTGCAGTAATATATAACATTTTGCCGATTTTCATAATTTAAAAAAAAATGGAACATATTTTTTTTTAAGTTACGAGTACGAACATTTTTTCCTAATATTGTTGTCCTCCGAATGAGCCAAATGAGATTTTTATCTCAGCAAGAGCAAAGCTTTGAGAGATATGATTTTTTTTGTACACACGTAGAGAATATCTCAAGAAAAAGAAAAATCGCTGATGTAGTAGATGGGAAGGGTTTTAGACCTCAGTGTGTAGTGTATTTGTATATGTAAAATAGTTGTAATATAAATACTTAGAATATCGCTAGTCCATGACCGGACACACAGTATACAATAATCAATTGCTGTCCGTTAGTCTCGCCAAAACTCAAAAACTGCTCGACCGATTTTGATGAATTTTTTTATGTGTTTAAATAGGTCCCTGGATAGTTTATATTCGCATTTGGACCCGGTAGGTGACACTGTTGTCGAGATCTAAAAACCGCCCGTGCGAAAACAGGGCGGATCGCTATAAGTTTATAAATAAGGAAACATTACAGGTGAAAAAATACCGGCCTTGTGGCACACCAGATACAATATCAGCCTAGGCAGAGAAACGCTGTCTGTCCTAAGCGAACTAATTGCTGCAATTATAAGAAAAAAATATAAAAAAACTTCTTCAAAGCTGCGGATGAGAATCTAGGGTATGAAAAGACAGAAAGCGTTAGAAAAGTTAACCAGCGCCACTAATGCTTATTTCTGCATTTAAATGAACAATTTCATTAGTCCTGGCTAAAATCAAACACGGTTTGCTCGTGTATGAAATCTTAAGGCAAGCGCGTATTCCCTGAGGTAGACGGCTGAAATTAAGTATTAACAGTGGTAGAGCCACGTGGCAGCTTTTGCTGTCGCACAGATGGGCCGGCTCGAACCGGGGTGGTACCACGACCTCACAGAATACCAGCCTGAAGTAGAGGTTTACCTCTGCATTTCGCTTGGTGAGTGCAGGTGGCCGGAGGCCCCTTTTACTGGAAATGAGGCATTACATCCTAGTCCTCACGGGTGAAAACGCATCTGCATTTTGATTTGTAAGAGGATAGATGTAGATGTAGATGACGATCAAGTGTACTGTGTGCTCGTTTGTCACCCTTATCCTATAAAAAAAGTGTTTAACAAAGAATATAATAACTACCCTATACAGGAAATGTTTAACTATAATGTATAAAAGGACTGCGTACATTTAAAACGGCTCCAAAACCATACTCAACAGCTTGAGGCCTTTTTTAGTTCATAACCCATGAAAGTTCACTGCTGAACGTACATTTATGCACCTAAACTCATATTGTTGGTTGCATATGATTTTAGATTAGATGCGTACTTATGCGTGCGTGTGTGCTTGTTCTAATATTAAGTTTTCTTGTTCTAATATTGGCTTGGTTTCGGTGTCACTTGTAACGTACTTCCTTTCAAACGTCAATCATTTAAATGTGACGAAGTGAATAATGCTATATCAAAATTAGTGCATTGGTTTAACGTTAATAATCTGCATTTGAACGGAAATAAAACTAATTGTGTTAAATTTACAACAACGAATGTTAAAAATCTTAATACCAATGTGTTTTTAAATGGGGAGGAATTGAGCCCTGTTGTATCCACTGTTTTTCTTGGCATCACTCTTGACGCAAAGCTACAGTGGGGCCCCCATATATCCAAATTAGCAAGCAGACTAAGTTCTGCAGCCTATGCTGTAAAAAAGATTAGAGGTCTCACTAGTGTCGAGACAGCTAGATTAGTTTATTTTAGTTATTTTCATAGCATAATGTCTTATGGGATTTTGCTATGGGGAAATGCGGCTGATTCAGAAACTATTTTTGTTTTACAGAAGAGGGCCATTAGAGCTATTTACAATCTAAAACCGAGAGAGTCCCTTAGAGATAAATTTAAAGAAATTAATATATTAACTTTGGCCTCTCAGTATATTTACGAAAATTTAATGTATGTTCACAAAAACAAAGATAGTTTTAGTAAAAGAAGTGATATACATTCTGTAAACACTAGGAACAAACACAAGCTAGTGATACCAGTTTCTCGACTCCACAGAGTCAGTAATTCATTCTTGGGGCAATGTATACGCTATTACAACAAGGTCCCGGAAAGTGTACAGGTTCTCTCTATTACCAAGTTTAAATGTTTCATTAAGCTGAAACTGTATAAAAAGGGTTATTATAGTATAAATGAATACATGGTTGATAATAACCCCTGGGAATGAGGTGATCGCTTCCAAGCAGTTTCTAAAATAAATTTTGTAAATAGTTCGTAATCATTTATATTGTAAAATTTATTTAAAAAAAATGTCCCGCTGGGTTTCTTGCTGGTTCTTCCCAGGACAGAGGGTTTTTTCGAACCAGTGGTAAAGTAAAAAATGACTTTCAATAAGAATTACACATGTAATGTATATTGAATAAAAAAAAATATTCTATTCTATTCTATTCTATTTTTCCTTGTGGGTCTAAGACCACGAACATTCTCACCCGATCATCAATCACGAAATATCATCTAATAGTGTACTTATATTACCTACATAAGGTAATTTGGAAGCAAAACAAGTTCGTGAACCATAATAATTCAACTAAAGGGCTTCTGTCTTAATAATATGTATTATGGATCACCATTATCCAATTGTTTTAATATTATATCGAAAATATTATAATTGGCCAAATGTGCGAGATGGTATTGCGCAATGTACTGCTGCAATAGCTGATGAAAAAGATGAAGAGTAAACAAAGGAAGGTCGATGTTTATTGGGGTTTTGAATATATGGAAGGAATGGAGATTAATAAATATAAACAGAAATAAAAATTGAATATTATTTTATTCAGTAAGAATACCTAACTTAAAATAAAATTATACTATTTATATACGGTAATTCTAATAATCACTAACCCCCTTTCTTCCATTTTTCTCCAGGGGTATACTCAGTCATTGGCTTTCCAGATATACCACAAGTTCCTATTCCTACCCTACCAGACAAATTGTCAGGTGATGCAAATATACTTTTAGTCCTCACACCAGGTTTCTTTAATGATTTTGAATGAAATGACAACCATTTGTTTTTCTCACTTTCTCTTTCTTCCTCAATTTGTTTAAACCTCTGTTGTTTCTTTTGCTTCTTCTTCTTAAGGTACTCTCGATTGTAACCCTTTCCATGCCTGTAAAAGTTTTAAAAGTTAAAGTTACAGTCTATATACATCCTATTGCTGTGCACAAGCCTCCCCTCACTTCTGAAGGGGTTTTAGCGCAATGAAATATCCGCCGCGCTACCCCAATGCGTGTTGGCGAACTTCACATGTCTGCGATTTTTTTTTCTTATTTCTCAGACATGCAGGTTTAGCATGTTGTAAATCAGTACTTAAAATTGCAATTAACAATTTAATTGATGTCGGCGGTGATCGGATCCGGGTTTCCCCGTACTGTGAAATTTACACCGAGCGCTAACCTTAGATGACTACCACGGCTCTAAAAGTATATTAAATAAATCTTTAGGTGTACCACTGTGTATGTGGCGGTTTAAGAATATCTACTACCACATTTCATCCCGTGAGTGTCGAAGACGCGACAGAGGAAACAAATTAAGATATGGGCAGCAGTCTTCCCAATAGTGACTAGAAATAAAAAATTCCAATTGCCAAACCGCTTGCCAAGTTTGGCAAATATGACACATGTCCTATCCCTATGAAGCAAACTATGGGGAAGGCTCACTACCCCATTTCATCCTGTGGGTGTGTGGACTTTAATAGGCTGTAACAGTAATATAATGATGCAGAGCTCTTGAAGTAAAATTGTTACTGAATTTTCATGCACTATTCATGGTGGCGTTAAGGCACAACCTTATTGAAAATTTACATGGGTGTTGCAACATACATCATAGGTAGAGACCCACTGCCACTAAACTATAGCTTCAGCATAAATAGATCAACTTGCCCAGAGAAGAACCACAATAGGATAGTATACCAGTGTAAAATAGCCGCATCATGTTTGAGTTTTTCATATGGTGAGTGTTGAAGACCATTTTTACTGGTAAAAAGGCATCTTAGTTTTTATAAGATAGGGTGACAAACGAGCACACAGTCCACCTGATGGTAAGTGGTTGCTGTGGCCCATAAACATCTACATTTATCCTCGTTTGTGAATCAAAATGCAGATGCGTTATCACCCGTGAGGACTAAGATGGAATGCCTCTTTTCCAGTAAAAAGGATCTCCAGTTAGAGAACTGGAGATGCTTTTTAGTTGGAGTGTAGAGACACTCACCATACGAAACACAGCAGTGTTAAGCTGCTATTTTACGCTGGTATTCTGTGAGAGCGTGGTCCTTCCCCGGTCGAGCCGACCCATTAGTGCTACAACTATACTACTAATATAGCTGCAGCATGGCTCTACCACGTAAAAAGTCCTCAAGGATGACAATACATCTAAATTATGATCCTTAATCAAGGATAAATAGCATTCACTTACCATCAGGTGGACTGTGCTTATTTGCCTCCCTTATTTTATAAAAAACACTCTAAATAACAGTCTAACAAAATTTCCATAAACATAGGGTTAGGCATTTTTGTATAGGCATTTTTTTATATTATGCCAAAAGAGCTAACAGTCTACTTTTAGTTGGATCTACACACACTAGTACACTTTCAGGGACTCAAAAGGCCATAATAGTACAGAACAGAGTACATTTTTATTTTTACATGCAGAGCGCTGAAGCTCCTGTGCTAGCCCTGACATTGACTTGCTTGTTAACAAGTTTATATAAAGAGTAAGTACTTATATATTTTTGAGCCCCTAATGGAATGTAACTATGGTTCTGTGACATTCCTGGCCATGCACTGGTGAGGATCAACCTAAATAATATCCCATAGACACCGTAGCATAAAGAAGAGTTCATTTGATCAAGTAACTAAAGTAGCATGCCTTACAGCTAGAGCCGTGGGGTACCTCAGATGGTTAGCGCTCACTGTAAGTTTCACAATATGCAAGCAACCCGGGTTCGAACCGCCCCGGCACCAATGAAAATGTTAATTGCAATTTTAAGTGCTGATTTACCAGGAAAACATCGTGAGGAAACCTGCATGTCTGAGAAATAAGAAAAAAAAATATTTCGACGACATGTGAAGTTTGCCAAAACACATTGGCGCAGTGTGGTGGACATTTCCTTGCACTAAAACCCTCGCAGAAATGATAGGCCTGTGACCAGTAGTGAGACATATATAAGGCAGCTACTCACTTGCCTGCCGCAGGGGCAATCTAGGATTTGTAGGAGTGGGAATGACCCTTAATTGCCTCCTTAATTGTAATTTGTGTAGGCAAGTAGGGGCAAATTTCTAAGTCGGCCCTGCGGCAGGGCGGCAAGGGCGCAAGACCTTCCTTGCTCCCTAGATCGGCCCTGCCGCTGTCGCGTGTGTAGCGCAATTGGGGCAATTTCAATCAGTTCGTTGTGACTTTCGTGCGGAGCAAACGTATGAGTACAAGTCACAATGGATACAATAAAGAATGTGAAATTTTGACACTGGTGATAGAAGTGTATAAAGAGCGGCTTCTGCACCCAGTATCGCCTTTTTGTCTTTTTTTGCAGTAGCACCGCAGAAAGAACGTTATTTTAATGTTGTAACTTACAAGTAACATTACTGGGATTTGTTACCGAGTAGATATCTACCTAACTTAAGGGCCAGTGTAAGAAAGAAAACATTCCAATAGTATTAGAATTTCTGGAATATAAATGAAATGCCATTAACTGAATTCTATTAAAAAATAATGTTTTCAAATTTCGAACTTCATTAAAAATAAGGAGGTAAATGTGAGTAAATAGGGGATGAAGTTTTTTGATATATTTAGACGACATTCAGGTTTGCGATAGTCCTCTACTCGAAAGGGTTAAAACTTTAAAAAGTAAAGCTGACAAAGAATAAAATAATTTTAACATAATAGCGTAGAGTCGAAAATTGAAGTGTCTGTTTGTAACGTCAAAATAACAGGTTTTTACTTAATGCGTATGAAAGTATATACGGTACTTATAACAAAAACACAATTTTTAAAATTTTTGTCTGTCCGTCTGTTTGTTCCGGCTAATCTACGAAATGGTTGGACCGATTGTGATGGGGCTTTCACTGGTCGATAACTGATGTTATAAGGAGTAACTTAAGCTAGTTTAATTAAAAAATTAGGGTTCCGCGCAAAAAAATTAAAACCTTAAAATACACACGGGCGAAGTCGCGGGGAATAGCAAGTAATTAAATAATAATACAAATTTTAGTAATTAAATTTATTAAAACTCATCACTAGAAAACTATCCTGGCTATTTGTAGCACTAGTTAAATTATAGTTACTAAGCACTAGTTACTTAAATTATATCACAATAAATTGGTTATATTAAATTATAATGAGAGATGTTAGTCACATTTAATTGTCTTTGATAGCCTAAAAATAGTGTGGCAGAGCTATCTGCAGCTTATAAGCACTATATTATGGTTTTAATTATTAATTAATTAGTTGTTTTATTGATAAATGTGGGTGTCTATGGGCCACAGTATCCGCTTACCACCAGGTAGACTGTGCTCATTTGTCACCCTTATTCTATATAAAAAAGAGCCAAGGCTATATATATCGATTTATTGATATTTCGATAAAACTAGCGCCATTCTCAACGCGTGCCTCCAGCGAGACGTACACTCTCATACTGAATGGCAGGCATGTGTGTAGGGACAGTTCAGATATTGCCCCAGTCGCTGTACACCCTAGATTGCCCCTGCAGCAGGCATGTGAGTAGCCGCCTTTAGGTTGTCACTTTACAGCTAGAAACTATAGTGGTTTTCTTAGTCTGCACTGTTGATTAGTATTAGAAACAGGTTAAACGTTGACCAAGCCAGATGGATTCCTAGATAGAAAAAGTATTCAACATGGAATTGTTAGGACAAGTGAGCTTTTTTTGTGCAACGTACACTTATGATTCTTAGGAATTTTATTTAAGTATAGATGTGGATGTCTACGGCCCACAGTATTTACTTACCATCAGGTGGGCTGTGTACTTGCTTCTAAACCCGAATCTATTTAAAAAAAAATGCAAACCTAAGTGGTCCTGTCATAAGAATATGATTACAAGTTAACTGTTAATTAATGCAAAATAACTTACTTGCTTTCATCACCACTAAGAGGCCGCTTAACACCAGAATTTGTAGATTTAATATCATGAATAGACACCACCTCTAATGTTGTGTACCCATCAAATTTTACTTTTAAACTATCATTACCAATTTCCTCAATAGTAGCTTCATAGAACCTGCAAACCATAAAATATAAACAATTAATTTCAAAAAGTTATGTCTAATATTTCAAAGTTATAAACATTAATATAATAGGCAAGTGGAAAATTTTTAATACATTGTTTCATATAATGTTAACCATATGTTTCATGCAAGAATAGTGTAGAAATGCAATTAAAGTCACTTGGAAATAGAAAATATTATATGAATAAACATACATTATCACAGGTTCAACTGTCTGATATCTACAAGTGTATGAAACTCCAAAAAATTTATAGGAGATAAATCATGTATGTTTAATTTAAAATTTATGTTTATATTACTGTATATAAGAATAAGCAATAGCAATAATTATAATTTTTATATTTCATAATTTCTAAATTATGAAATATAAAAATCATAATTCTTTATCTGAAAATCGAACTAAGCTAAGATAAACCTTCTTCTTCCTCAGCCTGTAGAAATGTACAACTGAATATGGTCCTCTCCCGCTGTAGGGAGAATTTGCCTTAATGATCATGCTTGGCAGACAGACTTGGCTTGACAATCACAATGCAAAATGTTTTATACCTTATATACTTTTTATCCATCACCAGTCTGGGTATTTTATGTATCCAGGGGACAAATGTGGTGATAAATTCTCTTACGCTAGAATCACATGGCAAATCTATGATAATTGATAGATCTTACTTTAGTTAGTTTAATCCCAAACTAGTATTGTGTGGAAATACAAATTTCAATTATAATTATTTTACAAATTGAATTTTAAAAAATAGTAATATTTAGGTAATAAATTACATATCAATAACATTTTTTATTGTTATGTAACAAGGACCTAAATTATTTATTTGATATAACGAGTGCACATTATTTGCATCTGTGTTAAAATGTATTTAATCTCTTGTCTTTTTGGATATGATTTCCATTTAATTAGTTCAAATTTCTCCATAAATAGATAAATAATCTGTGTCATGGAAAATGTCAAAAAAACTCAACCCATCCACTAAGTAGATAATACTTTAGGTTGCAACAAATGTATAGCCAAGAAAAGCATTTGATGTTCTAAAAACCATGTAAGAGCATTAAGTGGAGTGTGATTGTCATGGTAAATATGGCAGTGAAGTACCTGGATAAGTGTAGATTTGCTGGAATAATTGCATTATTCCAGCAAATCTACTCCTCCCACACCACCACCCACATGCAAAATATGAGCTTAGACGTGGAATTGTGGAAAACAGCCCATCATTATCCTATCTTATCTAGGTGTAGATTTAAAAATAACCAATTTTTACTTAACTAACTTAACTTCTACCCCTTAAACCCTGTTTCTTCAAATAATACCAATGCATAAATTGAATTTGGTTTTTTGAAAGCTATATAATTCAGCAACGATAACCTATATAAACCTGCAGAAAAGGGGAACATGCCTACAGGCATGAACATTCCCCTACACTCATTATTGCATAATTAAATTGATTGTAGATTTATTCCATTTTTGGTGGGAACCAGAGAAATATTTAATCAGTGAAATGGATAGAATTAAAATATAATGTACTGGGAACCTGCCCAGGCTTCACATGGGTGCAATTAAGAAAAAAATTTACTTAGCAGATAATTTGAATAATATATTTTATTATTGCTACTGCCATTTATTAGTTGTAATTTTAAATGAATAACAACTATAATCTACATTTTATACACAAGGTTACTACATATTTGTCAGAATAAGGATTAATACTGAATAGGGACAAAGAGAGCAAAATAACTTATTAGTTAAAATTTTAAAGAAAAAATTGCCTATAATTTTAAATAAGTGATAAAACTATTAACAATTAAAAAATAAACTATACGAACATGCCATCAGCTTTCCACTTAGCAAGGCATCTCTCTCCAACATGCCATTTGATAACAGGATTACCGAAGGCCTCGTTGTCATAGGCCAGCAGGGAAGCTGCAACATTATCATTATTACTAGAACTATGGAAATCGTGAACTTTATCACCCTCTTGAGTTTTTATTAGATCTTGTGTCAATTCAATTACTTCTTCTAAATCTGTCTTTAATTTGAGAAGTTCTTCGTTCTCGGGATCAGTAAGAAGAGCTGCCTCCACCTAAAACATTACATAGAAATTGAAATTGACCGAATGTTATGATACATCCTAATATCTCGTTAGAGAGTAGTTTAATCCTTGCATCATAATTTTTGATTATATTTACCTGTTGTAACTGCAATTTATAATTTCGTAAGTCTTCGGCCATTATATTCTAACTTCACATAAATTTATATTAATCGTAAAATGAAAGTCTACTAAAAAGCGTAATAAACTAATAAATATCTATTTCAGGAAAGTAAAAAATAAAACATTTCTTAATATCTTTGTAATTTCTTTTAATACGTAGCTTTACGGCTCTGGGTTCTAGCCCTTCTGAGCCTTCCTTATAATTACTATACTCTTTGCTTCAGAGCCTGAAGTTACAATGTATAATTATCCTTCATAGTACACTGCTTCACAATATGTTGATACGTCACATTGTGCAGCCCTTGGGAGATTTTGACGGCAACTTGAGCCAGCAGACAGCTGACAGTTGGCGATGGTATCTCAAGGCACCTAAGAAGATAGACATCTTATCTTGAGAATTACTTCATCATCAGAGTACTTGAGTCGTATAGAATCAAAGGCGGTGATCTCACTTTTTGGCACTTTTGATCGAATGATGTAGAAAACTTTAAAAAGTTGAAGTTAACGACTTTATTAAACAAATCAGAATCAAACGTTGGTTATATCCTTAGTAAATTCAGTACAAAATATTAGCTTAGTTACAAAGGTGGCTATATTCTGACAGCTTAGAATCAAAAACGGCTCTACTGTGCATTAGAGCTCAAAGACATCACAGCAGTGCTTTCCGGCACTTGACAAGATGGTGATAAACGAGTTTTTCTTACTGTGCGCGTCTGTGTTTTTAATTACTTTATTGAAGTTTTAGTGATTAAAGATTGTTAATACTACTAAAATTCTAATCGTGGATGATCAGCCCACTATTACAAATAATCGTTTCTCAAGGAAACGACAAAAAGATCCAGAAAAATGGAAAAAGAATATCGCAAAGAAAAACAGGTAAGCTGCCTACCTAGGGTTGACACATACTCTAACTTAAAAGAGTGTGCTCCATAGCCAAGTCTTTGCATTTGAGCAACAAAATTAAGACGGCTTCCAATAAATTTAAAATGACATGGAGTATAATTAATAGCGAAACTGGTAAGATCAACTCTTGCAATTCAAATTACCAGTTAAGTGTTAACAACAAATTAACTGTATCAGATCAGGACGTAGCAATGGTTTTTGAGAAAATAAATATTTTACTGATATTCCGATCTTGACCACTAAGTCATTGAATTCTTCTCCTGCCGTCGCCGAATCATTACTTAAACAAAATGTAAATGCGTGTACAAAGAATTTTACATTTCATAAAGTGTCATCAAAAGATATTGTAAAATATTTTAAAACTATTGATGTTAAGAAAACTGCGGATCTATGGGGGATTTCCGTTAAAGTTATTGCGTCTATAATAGATACAATCGCGCCTCATTTAGCTATTATTTTTAATACTAGTATCGAATCTGGTGTGTTTCCTGATTTAATGAAGCATATTAAAGTAATACATTTATTTAAATCTGGTAGTACATTAGACCCCGCCAATTTTAGACCTATTTCTGTACTACCAACACTTAGTAAGATTATTGAAAAAATTGTTCTTGATCGAATGTTAAATTTTTTAATATAAATAATTTACTTCATAAAAATCAATTTGGTTTCACAAGGGGTCGCTCGACAACTGATGCCGGTGTTGAGCTGATTAAATATATCTTTAATTCATGGGAGAATTCACAGGATGCTTTGGGTATATTTTGTGACCTATCCAAGGCCTTCGATTGTGTTCACCATTAAACATTAATCAGGAAACTTCAACACTACGGTGTAAGAAGTGATGCTCTTAAATTAATTATTTCATATTTAAGTAAGAGAACGCAAAAAGTTGTCATTAACAATATGAGCTCTTCCGGATCGATGGTACAAATGGGCGTGCCTCAAGGCTCAATTCTCGGCCCCTTTCTGTTTCTTGTATACATTAATGACTTACCTTACATAGTAGGGGATAACCATGATATAGTATTATTTGCAGATGACACTTCTTTAATTTTCAAATTAAATCGACAACTACTAAAATATGACGAAGTAAATAATGCTATATCTAAATTAGTAAATTGGTTTAATGTTAATAATTTGCATTTAAATGACACTAAAACGAAATGTATGAAATTCATGAATCCAAATGTCAAACAATTAAATACTAATGTAATTTTAAATGGGGAGAAACTGAGTCTTGTAGGTACCACTATTTTTCTTGGAATCACACTAGACGCGAAGCTTCAATGGAGCCCCCATATATCAAAACTAGCAAGCAGACTTAAAAAACTGTAAAAAAGATTAGAAGTCTAACCAGTATTGAAACAGCTCGACTAGTTTACTTTAGCTATTTCCATAGCATAATGTCGTATGGTATTTTGCTATGGGGACACGCAGCTGACACTGAAATTATATTTGTTTTACAGAAGAGGGCCATAAGAGCAATTTATGATTTAAAGCCTAAAGAGTCGCTGCGATAAAAATTTAAGGAAATTAATATATTAACTTTGGCCTCTCAATACATTTATGAAAATGTAATGTACGTACACAAAAATAAAAGTAGTTTTACAAAAATAAGTGATATTCATTCTGTAAATACTAGGAACAGACACAAGCTAGTAGTACCAGTTACTCGACTCCATCGAGTCAGTAAATCATTCTTGGGGCGATGTATACGCTTTTACAACAAAATTCCAGAAAATATACAAAGCTTGACCTGCTCAAAGTTCAAAAACTTTATTAAACTAAGTTTGTATAAAAAGGGTTATTATTATTTTTTTCCCGATTTCGATGTATATTCCTTGGGGACATTTAATCAAAATCATGGGCAGAACACACGCTGAAACGATTAAAAAATCACGATGTACAATACATTTTTAACAATTTCCAAAATTTATCTTTTTTCAGATACTCATCCAAATGTCTACCCACACGCGTTTATGAACATGACCAACATGCATTTCAATGCTCTAAAATAACGATGTCTGATATGCACAATCTACATAGCAAATTTTATGCCCATAAAGACAAAAAAAGTCAAGATGCTATAATTTTAAAACTTTGTTCGATTAAGGCCATTTCAAAGAGGACCCGCCCAATAGTTTCCAAACAAACTTCAATAAAATACGCCGTATTTCTTAACAAACAGAGGATACCTATTTGCCAAAAAAAATTTCTGAACATTTTCGGAATCACAAAGCACAGGGTAAATTATGTCATGTAAAGGTTTTATTACGCGGGTGAAATAACACACGAGACACATGGTGGGTTTCGAAAAACAGAAAAATATTCACAGCAGAAAAAATCTGTTTAGAAATTTATACAAAGTTTGAAGTGCGTAGAGTCACATTATTGCCGCAAGGCTAAATTTGCCGTAAGAAAATATGTGCCTGCTGAGCTAAATATAAAAAAAACTATTTGACATGTACAAATAATCTGAGTGGGCAAATTGTGAAGTGAAGCTGTCTTACTTTAGATTCCTTTTTGACAACTTTTATAAACTCGGATTTGGATCACCTCGTACGGATGTTTGCTCAAAATGTCTCGAGCTAACTGAAAAAATTAAAACTGAGACTGATTCCACCCAAAAAACTTTGCTAATAACACAAAAAACTGTGCATAAATTAAAGGCAAAGGCTTTTTTTTACAAATTGCGTGAAAAGGCTGACGGATTAAAAATCATCTCTTTCGACTGCCAAAAAAACCTTCCCCTCCCGAAATTACCAGATCTAATATGCTATTATAGCCGTCAACTTTACTTTTATAACTTGACCATGGTAGAAGGTGCATCCGATCAGCCAATGACCAAAGAAAAGTCTTTGCATACTGCTGCACGGAGGACGAGTTCCACAAAGACTCCAATTTGGTTGCATCGGCTGTATTTCACAGACTTAATGAAACTGATAAAACTGCGATCGACAAAATACGCTTAGTAGCGGATGGGTGTGGGGGGCAAAACAAAAACTGCATAGTTATTGCAGCATGTTGTAAGTGGTTGCTGTCATGTCCAACGATCAAAAACTTAGAAGTAGTGTTCCCAGCTACCGGGCACTCCTATATGCCGCCAGATCGCGCATTTGGTATAATAGAAAAAAACTCTGAAAAAGCAAGAAGTTTTTTTGTACCCTGATGAGATTAAAAATATCGTGTGTGAGACTTCAACTGTTGTTCGATTTGGGCATGAGTGTCCTGTCAGTGATTGGAGGGAAACAACCAGGTCGATTTTGACACCAACGACTTCTTGAAACGTTAGGTTCAAAAAATGTACAACATTCATTTTGGTTCGTTCCAAAAGGCCGGGTAATGTTCTTGTGAGAGGCGAATGTTTTTATAAAAGTGACGTTGGAAAAGCCGCTAACATTTGTAAAAAGCATAAAACTATCTCCATGATAAATGCAAGACCACTGCGGAAAACTGTTGCACTTAATAATAAGAAAGTTAATGACATTAACACCCTGCTAACAAAACATTTTGGAAAAGACTGGCGAGATATACCGTCTCTCCAATTATACAAAAACCTAATAACGACACAAGAACGTTTGCAATACACTACTCCACCCGAAGGAGAACATTATTGCCAAGAACCACTTGAGGAAGTAAATGATTTACGCATTTAAACAAAGACTAGATAATAAGCAACGTGTAATAGTATTAGTTTTCATTTTAATTTAGTTTGATAAATATTATATCTTTGAAGAATAGCTATATCTCTTTTTTTTTTCACAACCCTAACATTAGGCAAAATTTATTGGATACAAAAATGGCAATCTTTCCGTGACTTGGTGTCAAATGTGGCCATCTTATCATACTTTTGGATCAAAGGCGGCCATTTTCAATTGTTGGAGTCAAAAATGGCTTTATTGGTATTTCATATTTGATTATGTCCATTGTTTTCATTCGTGGGTTAAAAACTATATTATTAAAGTAATACCTTAACATATTAATTAATAAAAAAATATTACAGTAATCCCAGGTAGGTCTTTGTGCTTTGTAATCAGTTTTTTTAATCTGTCAACAATGACTGATAATGAGATAGCCGCTTTTGATTATATACGACTCACTTGTTTCACCGTT